ATTCTGTCATAATTATCTTAGCATCATTGCTGAATGATTTTTTAAGTTCTGCCAGATTTTTCTTCAACTCTCTGAAGAACTTCCTTGTGCTCAAGGCTTTTCCTGTCTTCAGCATCTAGCTGATGAACTCAGTTCTTCTGTCATTCATAGTTCTAGTGTATCTAAGAATCCCTATAGTATCCTTCCCATCATATGACAGGAAGGGAGGAAAAACAGAGATGCAGCCTCTGAAACCCAACTTAGTGTCTCACTTAGTGCTCAGAGAGTGCCATGAATGGGAGCTACCTTTGCTTTATAAAAAGACTGATATCTGTATTCAGACTGAATAAGTGATAGCTCCCAATGATCATTGACAGCCTGGTTACTTCTTCATCTAATGGCACCATAGGAATCATATTGCCACTGGAGTGGAAGATGGAGAAGCCTGAGACTATGTTGGGTTGCCAGTCTTCAGAATAAGGACTGTAAATAGAGGGCGCCATGTACCCCTCTTCATGGGGAGGTAAGCTATCTTGATCCTGGCACTGGGTAGGAAGGGATTGCATGTGTTTTTTCCTCATCCTGCCTTGAGAGCTTATATTTGAAAAAAAAAAAAACTTCTGTTCTTAGATGTAGAAGAGATACAAAGGTGGCCAATCTAAGAAAGGAGCTCTGTGAGGAGTTCTCATTAAAATTTAAAAGGGGAAAGTAGCTTCTTTCTCCTTCTCTTTTTTTCTGTATGTATATATTATGTATGTATTATATATTTGTGTAGCTATGTCTACACACATATACATATTTTCCTAGTTTGCTTTCTATTTCTGAGATAAGGAACAATGACTAAAGTAATTTGGGAAAGAAAGAACTTATTTGGCTTACAGGTTACAGTTTTGCAAATAAGAGGAAAGGATCTGGGCATAAAGTCAAGGCAAGAACATAGGGGTAGGAAGCAGAGGCCATAGAAGAACACTGCTCACTGGCTTGTTACCCCTGACGTTTTATTCTTCTTCTGTGCAACTCAAAGTTACTTGCCCAGGGATGGCACCACCCTCAGTAAGTTGGGCTCTCCAATATCAACCATAATCAAGAAACTGACCAAGAGGTTTGCTTACAGGCCAGTCTGATGGAAACATTTTCTCATTTGAGGTTCCCTCAATCTGGGTAACTTTTGTGAATTTCACAACCCCCCCCCCAAAAAAAAACTAACCAGCACACACACACGAAATATCTTCTTTGCATAGGTTGGGAAGAAAGCACAGGGATGAAGAAGAAAAGAGAGGCAGTTGAGAACTCAATAAAGAGACCTCAGGACTCCCAAGATCACTACCTAAGTTGTTTGAAGTCTGTGACACAACCTTCTCTTTTATCCAGCAGTTCAGTTTAATGGCTCAAGCAAAGACACATACCTGAGAAAGGGATTTTTGTGGAAATCCAGGGCAATTAGAACCAGTAAAAAACAATAAGAACCTTATTTTCCAAAATGCATCTGGAAATGGAAGTGATACTGTTTCTTAGAACTTTTTGAGTTAATATCTACAGTTTGACACCTTAATAGCAAGGCAGGAGGCTATGGCCTCGGTAGTGGTGGGTATGAGGCAAAAAGTGAAGATGGCTATCTATGCTCTACCATCCTGCGTGTGACATGGAGTGCTCTCAAAGCTAGCTCCCACTTTCCTTCACCGTCTGTCATCCAAACACAACCTTTCCATCATTATAGAACTGTGAAGGTGAGAATCAGGAGGACTCAAACCCCTCTTCTGCCTCCTCAGTACATAGATAGACTCAGAGGAATCATCCTGATGATGGAAATAGGGCCCACTGACATTGAAATGGTGGTGATAAACTCAGAAAGTGAACACATAGAAAATCCTGGAGAAGACACACCAGTGGAACTTCAAGCTAGTCTTTTCCCAGAAGATGGTGGGAATGGCTCACCTTCAGTTTTGTTGGGGTGTTACTCTACAGCTAAAATCAATTGATTCTTGCAATTAACAGTGTTTCAGAATATCAGACATTGCGAGTGACCTCTCTAGAGAGTAAAGTGTAATTTAACATTGGACTGGTGGGGAATCTCTTCCAGTGATGTTTAAGATTAAGGTTATTCTGTTCACTGGAGACATAGGATATGTTCCTGAGTACAGAAAGGGAAAAGTCCTAAAGAACAAAATGATAGAAGGTAGGAGGAAACGGTAGGGCCAAGTGATGAATGTTTCAGATGTATTTGTGTCATGAAAGTTTGACGACATCAGAATGAAAGTCTTTTCACATCTAGATAAAATAGGATCTGGGGTGTTAGAAAGGGCGTAGACTCATGCCTGCCTGTCTGAGATAAGTACTTTTTAGAAAACTTCTGAAGGCTTCAAAGAGAATTCTCTGTCTCCACCCACTCCATGCTGTACACACCTCCCACATATGCACAGATTTCAATACCAAAGTGTATCTATAGCATTCTGTAAGATGGCAACAATTCAGGCACGATTCTGAACAGAACACTTGCCCAGCAACAACCCTTACCACTCCAACATTGGGTTTCCATGATCATTAAACTTTGTATTAAGGTGGCTAATGTAATTTCTTTCCTTTATGTTTTTGAAAACTTTCCTTTGTCTCAATCTCCTTAAGTAATGCCCATAATTTATAACAGTTTTATATTCCTCTTTTAACACTTCCATTGGAAGATGAATATATAAACATTCTAACATTATCAGATAAGTGTTATTCTTTTGAAGACATTGCTGACTGTTTAGATTGGCCACATGTTCAGGGTGAAACCACAGGTTAACCTTAGCTCCTAGGGAGTGAAAATTGACCTAAAATCCAGGAGACACATGGTATAGAGCAATTGATCAAAGAGGCAGAGTTTCCTGGGAAAAGAGAGGTAACATATGCCTGCAAGATTCAAGCAGCAAGAACAAGGTTTGCGACACTGTGTATCTGTGATGCATGTCAACCGTTAAGTCTAAGACTCTCACTACTGAAGGTGTTTTTGGATCTGTGGATACCTGGAGACAACACGATACCTGGAAGCAAAGGGTTTTGCCATTCACTGGCAATCTCCATCCTTACTCTCATGTCTACTCCCAGAGGCATGTATACAACAAAGCTTGGGAAACACTAGCAAAGCTGCATGACTCTCCTGTAAAGTCAGCCTAACTTCGTCTTTGACTCTATCACTGTGTAGAAAGCAGTGCACACAACAATGGACTGGGCAGAAGGTCACAAACTGAACAACCCTTAGGAATACTTGGGAATGGTGTCATGATCAGGAACAGCATCACAGATATACATGGACCAGAATCTGAAGCTCAAAGCTCTCAGCTTTGCCCCTGTAGCACTGAAACTCTGAGAGACCTTTTCAAACCTTCCCCCAGGGCAAGTCTTCCTCTTGGGTATACCTTTGTCTCTTATGGTCATGTGGATATTGGATGCATTTTTGTAATTTCTTCTCTGAGTGTGCCAAGCCTTACTATAGGAGCCTTGTATATCAAAGTCTAAGATTTCTGGACTAAAAACAAGGCTCCTCTGTTTAACTACACTTTGTGTCTTGGGGTGAAATAACAGTAGAAACCCTCGGGAAAAATCTCAGAACATACAACTGCTGAACTTCCTTTTGTCTCCGTGGAGTACTCTAGCCAGAATATCGCCACAGCACAGGCCCCAACACCATTCTTGTTCAGACCTCTTGAAAACAGATGATAATGGACAGCAGGAATAAACCTTCAAATGGCATCGTCTATGAGCAACAGCACAAACTGGGACCATGCGGGAAATTGACAAGTTAGTGGCAGGGAATGCCTGCAGCTGAAGGCTTCTTCATTCTCATTGTTTACAGAGCTGATCCTGCTCTGTAAACAGGCCGAGGACTCCCTGATAAAGGGGTTCAGTAGGGTGCCCTCAGAGCAGAGACTGTGCTAGGCTGTCTCTACTCTTTACACTGTTGCCAATGGTCCTTTATCATCTTTTTAAACCAAATCTATCTTGTCTAGAGTGACAAAGGCTGCAATTATTGCTCCTCACATGAAGGGTTCCAACGATGCAGTTTCATGACAGGAGTCAAACTAGCAATAGTAGCAAGCTATTTATTATCTATAATTCAGATTGTGAAGAAAATCAACAACGATCCATTTTTATTGTCCTGTTAGAGTGTTAGGGCAGAAGGTTCTGATTCCTAGGAAATTAAGGTGTGTTTTCAGAGCCAATTGCAGGACAGCCAAGGCTACACAAAGAAACCCTTTCTTGGGGAAAAAAATGGAAAAAAAGTAAGGTGTGTTTTGAAAGCAAAGTTTTGGAGCATCTTTTAAAAACATTGCTGAAAATCAAAACTAAGAGATACCATAGTAAAGGGTTGAGGACCGAAAGCATCACGGAAGTAAGGAGATTAATTGGTGAAATTTTTAACCCTTAAAAATTAACTGAAGATTGCAACTTGAGTTGGTGTCTGTCAGAGGCAGAATTCTGTCTCTTGCTGTTCTGAATTAATTCAGTCTGTTTTTGGGATAAGGATTTAGCAATTTTTTTCATCGAGTCTTGAACAACCAGTGCTTCCTTCCAGGCTGAAATAGGGAAAGGTGGATTCAGGAACAAGGCCAAAAATAAGGCATCTTGGAAGGAGGATGGAAGTCAGTACTCAGATCTCTGGTGTGAGGTACTGTTGAAATATCTAGGTGACAACAGCCAACTGACTCAGTAAAAAGAATAGAGTGAGCCAAGTAGGATTTGGGGTATAGAGGACAGCCAATTGTGTTCTTAGAATCAGAATGCGTTAAAAGTAAACTGAAGTTTAGCATTTTTCTTGAAATCCTTACTATTTATTTTCATCTTATAGTGTTTGCTATGATAAATAATGCACTTACCTTCTAGTCTCCAGGAGAGATTGACACATCTTAGACTACCTGGAACCCTATCCTATGTTTACTATTAAATAGTCCTGAGGTTCAGTGAAGCCACTGTGAGATCTGTCATGTGGGTACAAGGGATGCCCCTCCTACTCTGCTGCTCACAGGGACAGGGATCTAGACAGTTGTCATTCTCTGCTGATCCTGCCATGGACTTCAGGCTCTTCTGCTGTCTGGCTCTTTGTGTCCTGGGGACAGGTGAGTCCTCAGCATGCCATGTAATTCCACGCTGTCCTCCTCTATCTCACTCTGTGTGTGTATATATACATATACATCTGTGCTTGACAGAAATATATATTTTCTCCATTTCTCTCTCCACAGATCACACCAAGGCTGGAGTCTCCCAGTCTCCCCCTCACAGTGTCATCAAAAAGGGACAGAATGTATCTTTCAGGTGTGATCCAATTTCAGGTCACTTGGGCCTTTTCTGGTATCAGCAGAAATCGGGGCAAGGCCCAGAGTTTCTGATTTATTTCCAGAATGAAATCCCAACAGACAAATCAGGGCTGCCTGGTGATCGCTTCTCTGCAGAGAGGCCTGAGGGATCCTACTCTGTTCTGAAGATCCAGCCCGTGAAGCAGGAGGACTCAGCGGTGTACCTCTGCGCCAGCAGCTTAGCCACAGCAGAGCACAGTCACCTCCTCCCTGCTCACAAACCTCAGAGGCCACTCCCTCTTCACTGCTGTCCTAAACCCTGCTAAGCCTTGAACAATGACTTGACTCTTGACTCAAAAAGAACAAAAGAATGTGGAATTTCAGGGGTTCTTCAGGGGAGGGAGGTCAGGAAATGACCTTCGGGTTGTGAAAGAGGTGATGCTGAGTCCTGGTGAATTTGGATTGTCACTCCCTAGTATTCTTGAGGTACTGTAGATCCTTAACTGGGATACACCACCGGAGCCTAGTTTCAAGGATACAAATAAATACAAATAGACCCAAACACTAAATACAAAATTGCATTGTATTTACAAACAATTCCACCCTGAATGCCACTAGCACAGACCTACACTATACTAAACAGTGGCCTGGCCAGAATAAAGCAGTGTCAAGGACAGTTTAAAAACGATTAGGACCTAAATAATTCCTATAAAAGTTAGTCATGAAAAGCAACAGTCCCCCGGAACAACATGAGTTGAACTATGCCCATATACTACTTTTGATTTCTTTCAACAACACTGCACTCATTCCACTTTATTGTTACTGCCAGCTAGCTGTTTCAAAAGTACACCCAATCCCACATGAGCCTGGTAGCCAACGATTCTATTAGTTTAAGATAACGTAATTAAATATGAGGAGCTGGCTACAAATAGCTAAAGACTCTTATCTTAGAGTAAGATGTTTTCATTAATTTGCCTTTCCTCAACAAATACAAATTAACCTGATTGTATCTGTGTTTGCATTTCAAACATAGAGATGAATGATGGGTGTTATTTGCCAGAAATGTTTCCTAATATCATTAAATTAAGGTAACAGCCTATTAAAGTCTTAATATCATTGTTTTCATTACCTTTGATTTAAAAAGTTTTAGACTTAAGTCATGTAGGACACTTTCCAATATCTTTACTTTCAATGCAACCATGTTAAAAAATTACTGCATGCAATAGCACTTTTGTACCAACTAATAGCACCTGTGTTAAGGTACTGCCTCGATCTTTTATCAATTTGTGATCCACAAATCATTTATTGCAGTAAGCCTCATTTTCTCATGTATATAAAGAGCAATTGTTACAGCTCATAGATTGTTGAGACATTTATTAGGATAATAATCATGACTGACCTTTGGAAAATGCATTTGTATAAATGAGGATTGTATCATCACCCTCATTAATGAAAAGTAAGCATTCCACCCATTCTAAAGAGACTGAGAAAGCTCTATTAGGAACCTTTTATGTTTTTCTCTTTAATCTTCCATTGGCATTTTAGTCTCCTCCTCCATTTCTCAGGCTATATGGTGAAAATTTCAACATATGGTCTATGTAAAATGTTAATGGGCTTGATTAATTTAAAGGATCCTTCAGCCAAGCGTGTTTGTAAAACTCTGAGTTATGTGTAAATAAATAGATTTCTTTAATGTAGAAAAACAGAAAGTCAAATTTAGCTTGATTTCATAAAATACAACCACACTTGGAAAGCTGTTAAAAACAACAACTTCAAGATGACCCAAACAGAAGTTCTGAAGTAGTTCCATCAGTCCCCAGGCTCCCCTGAGGCATGGGAACTTTCATCAGACACTGGTGCTCTCTGTCTCCTTCCAGTTGTTCATCTTTTTGTTGAGTATGTGTTTGTGTGTGTGTGTGTGTGTGTGTTCTTCTATGTTGGTCTGAATATGCATGTGTGTTTGTGTGTATGTATATGGTTGTGGTAATATGTGTGTGTGTGTGTGTGAGTGTTTGTGCTTGTGTCTGTCTGTCTGTCTGTCTGTCTGTGTATTTGTGGAAGCCAACGGTCAGCCTTATTATTTCTTTGGTGCTATTTTTTTTCCGAGACAAGATCTCTTCAATGAGACCTGGATGTTCTAGTAGGCTAGATTTGTTTGACTTTGCCACCTGAGCACTTGGATTACAAGACTGTCATTGAGACAATAAACTAAACTTCATTTTTAAATATTCGTATTTTAATTACATATATTTATGAAATACAGTGCACACACTCCTATATGGTGTAACGATCAAATAAGTTAAGCATTTTTAAAATGACTTCTGGTGATGTATATATACTGAGTTGATTTCCATATTTATGTACAATACACATATCATATATATATATATCTTTCAAAACAGGCTTCTTTATGCAGTTCTGGTTGTTCTGTAACTCATTGTGTAGACCAAAATGACCTCAAACTCACATAGATTCATTTGCCTCTGCCTCCTGAGTGCTGGGATTAAAGGTATGTGTCAACACTGCCTAGTTAACAGGGTATATTTTGATGAACAAAAGTTCTTAATTCAAAGTTATTAAATTGTTCCTTTTTTAGTTTTTATTGTATATTTTTATCTGCTATACAAAGCAATCATTCTTTCATATATATCTTTTTATAAAATTTCACACTTTTACATTTTAATTTGCAATGCAGCTACAATTACTCTCTCTATATAAGAAAGGTCACTGTATAATTTTCTACATAGTTATGCAATTCATCCTGTGGTATTTGCTAAGGGATAACATTTACTTACTTCACTGGTGAAGAAAATCACATTTATCATAAGGCAATAGTTTCATATGCTTTGATAGTTTTTCTGGGTCTGTATTCTGTTATATTGCTCTGTCGTCAGATCCTTCAAGTATACACTGTTTCATTTATTACAATATTATAATAAACCTTTTATCTGTTAGTCTACTTCCCCAAACTTTTTTAAAATCATAGGTTATTAATCACTATAGACAGAATTTTTCATATGAATGCTATATTTACAAAAATGTTTATATATACATCACAAATATGACAATATTTCATCTATTCTTTTATATATGTATCTGCAGGGATCAATAACTATCTGTTGGGAATTTCCTTGATTTTTGTTTCTCGATGGTGTAAGAAATTATATAATAAATCTATGAGTGTAATAAGAAGTAGCATCCTTAAACACCAAATATACAGTTTGGCATCTAATAAGAGGCTATAGCATTGCAAAGCAGGGACAAAATGGGACTAATCACTAGGAGAGAAATCAGTCACTAGAAACCAAACTATTTCTGACAAATTGGATGACACTGATATTAAACAGTGTAACTGCAGCAATACCTTAACCAGTTTATAGAGATGAGGGAGGCGTGCAAAGACCGAAGTAAAAGTTGGCAGTGTCTGTGGTGAGAAAGAGCTGACTGTAATTACTAGGAGATTGAGTGTTCCAGAAAAAAGTCTTGATAAATGTGAAGATAATATTCTTAAGAAACACAAAGAAAATAAGCATAAGGTGTAAGTAAGCTGAGTTACCTCAAATGGTAAAAGATGTAACTGGGAATTCCATTAAAACTTCTTTAAAGACTAGCTAGATGTCTACAACAATTCCAACATTCTACCCTTCTCTGCTTTCTCTTCCTTGGATTGGTCTATTTTCCCAAGTGCTCCCTAGGCTCCTCCTCTGATAGCCTCCCCAGTCAGCCCTTCATAAAATTTCCTCTGAACTAAAAAATATTTTGCCCTGGCCACGCCTTCCAATTTCACGTGGCATCTAATGACTAATGAATGTCTACAATGTGATATGACTTAGAATTTATTCTTTTTTGAATGAGTTCCCTCACTGGCTTAGATAAAACTTGGTATTTCTGTAGGTAAATTGAAACTGCAACTACTCTTCAACTCTTGATGTTTTCTAGCCTAACCCTGACGCCTGATTTTGGGAGCTCCCAGCGTCCCCTACAACCAATAGAGGTACATCTCATTGAATATGCACCAGGTCACTAGAGGGCACTGCAGATGCACCAAGTGAGCTGTAAACAGTGCTTGAGAAGGTGGATGCAGAGGTGTAATATGGAGTCCAAGTAGGGTGTTAGCTATGGAACCAGAAACAGTGCAGGCTCAGTAGGTACAGGGTGAGGGTCAGGTAATCAATCATCTTTTCTCACTGAGAATCATCACAGGAAGCGACCTACAGTCTTCACATTCGAAAACACCTAGAGCTAGGAAAAGAGAAGGAAACAACTGCCTCAGAGAAAGGGGGAAATGGAGTTTCCTACACCCAGACATTTTGTCCTCAGCACAGTCAACACCCCCATTCCACTATGCAGGCTGAGCCAAACGGGGAAGAACTAAACCAGCAGATTATGCTAAAGGGTACACAGGGCCTATGGGAGCCAATGAAATCACTGACCTCAGAACCTGACATCACAGGCAATGAGCTGAAAGGAGGAACTGACTCCTGCTCTCACCAGGGAGAGCAGCATGCTGAGGAGAAGGATGTGGGGCACTGCCCTCCCTGGCTCTGCCTGGGGCCCCAGCCTGCTCTGCTGTGTCACTGTCTTTCTCCTGGGAACAAGTGAGTCCTGAGCTCTGGGGGGACCGCTCCTGAGCTCCTCTACTGCTGCTGTACCCGTGCACTCTTTCTCTAGATGCTCACTCCTGTCTCCTGCCTCCCCAGGTTCAGCAAATCCCGGGGTCATCCAGTCTCCAAGATACATAATCAAAGCAAAGGGAGGAAGGTCCTTTGTGAAATGTACTCCCATCTCTGGACATGACACTGTGTTCTGGTATCAACAAACTTTGGGCCAGGAACTGAAGTTCCTCATTCGGCATTATGAAAAAATGGAGGGAGAGAGAGGAAACATCCCCAACCGATTCTCAGTGAAGCAGTTCAGTGACTATCACTCTGAGATGAACATGAGCGCCTTGCAGCTGGAGGACTCTGCTGTGTACTTCTGTGCCAGCTCACCACAGCCTCACAGAGTGACAGGCGTTCTGTCCCTTAATCTTCCTGCTCTTGCTAGTTTCATACTAGAGAGGGGCAGAGATGATACACAACCTTAGCCAGGGCCCAGAAATGCTTCTAGATCTTTACTAATCCCCTCACTACTTACCTGATCCCATACAGAGTGGTCTTAAAACTGGCGTGGGTCCCAAGATCCAGGTGTTTTCACATCTCTACAAGTCCCTTCCAGCTCCTAGACAGTGGTAGGAAACCCTACTCTGTGCTTGGGTGTGGTCATAACCAGTGTATGCATTTTGTAGATGAAGAGTTCTATACATCAATAGGAATCAATGGCTTATAAAATTCCCAATATTTTATGTTTGAGAATATCAACACAAGGCTTAAAATTTGCAGCTCCTTGACTTCTAACTCAAAGTTCTTCATTTCCTTGGTGCTTCCCATTTTGGGTCAAAATGTAACAGCTCACTGTCTCTTATGTTATAAAACTAGCTGGAGTTAGTGTGTATGTCTGGGGAGAGGCTGCAGGTTATACATGAGTAATATTAAGCCAAATAAAGTTTGTATTGTCATAGGGTCGAGATTTGGTTTACATTTTTAATAATCCTTACCCCAACCCTGACTAAAATCAGAGAAAGTGCACATGCATCTAGAAAGAAAAAAAAACAAGCAGCAAATTCTTTCTGACTTCTGTTGGCAATATTTGTATATCCGTTATAAATATTGTTGCATAATGTAATTAGGAGACTCTGCTTTAAAATCAACTTGTTACTGTAGGAAAGGGGTGTGGCATGTTAACTGTGCAGTTGAAGCATTTGTTGCAGACAGTGACATCACTAAGCCACTAAGAGCCCCAGCTCTAGTTTCCAGAAACAGGACTAGAAGACATCAGATCCTGCCTGGGTCCTGAGATGAACTTCAGGCTCTTCTGTGTTACCTTGAGTCTCCTGTGTGCAAGTGAGTGCTGGAGAGGACACAGATTTCAGAAGTCTTTTAGCTGAGATGACATCATCAGGCTCTGTCTCCCTCTATTACAGAACACATGGAGGCTGCAGTCACCCAAAGCCCAAGAAGCAAGGTGACAGTAACAGGAGGAAAGGTGGAACTAAGCTGTCACCAGACGGATAACCACAACAATATGTACTGGTATCGGCAGGACCTGGGTCATGGACTGAGGCTCATCTATTATTCATATCGTGATGGCAGCACAGAGAAAGGAGATGTCCCTGATGGGTACAAGGTCATCAGAGCAAGGACAGAGACCTTCTCTCTCATTCTGGAGAAAACTTCCCTTTCTCAGACATCTGTGTACTTCTGTGCCAGCAGTGATACACATCAGTGTGTGGCTGCCTCCTCTCTGCACAGAAAGTAAACTAGGAAGTCAAGTTGACTATGTGCCCCAGGAAGTCCCTGTCTCTAAGAGTCACTGGGCTCTGACAAACTAGGCACATTTCAGCACGGGTCTCAGCCTCACTGAAGTCCACTCTGACAGCTTTTCATGGCTGCTTGGCTCATTCCCACCCCTTATTTCTCCTTTCAGAGAGGAAGCTGAGTCTTGAATTGAAGTCACAGTGACTCCTTTGATACTTTCACAGCCATTATTTTCTTCCCTGCGGCCTCGGTGAGCTCCTCAGTCACTTTACTATGCAACTGAGTCACTTGTATGCTCTCTTTCCAGGCTGTGTTTACTCTACAGGTCAGTAGTCCCTTTGTTCTATAGGACGATAGCCCGTAAGGTCCCATGTCATTTCTTCACTCATCTCTATCATCAGTCTTTACCCAGCCTTCCCTGGTTATTTCCTCATAGCTAAACTTGTCTACATTCCGTTACTTTTTTCATATATGTTGTGCTGTGTTAAACTCTGGAGATATTTTCCTAGGACATTTCTTCTGCACTAAAGACATGCCTCTCTGGATGTTAGGAAAATGTATTTAAGGTTGGATCATTTTTCTTTTACCCTTTAAAGGTTTTAATTTAAATATATTATTTCTTCCCTTACTTCTTCTAACTCCTCACATGATTCTCCTTTTTCAAATTCATTGCCTCATATTTTAATTAATATTATTTTTGTTTGTGTTTTTATGTATATGATACAAATAAACAATAAATTCAACCTGTTGAATATATTTATTGTTACTTACATTTACACTTTTAGGGATGCCTGCTTGTGATTGGATAACAATGTCGGAGATTCATCCTTAAGAAGACTAAGGCCCCCTCTCTCTGTAGTCCCTAATTGCAAAAAGAAAAAAAGCTGGAGGATTA